CTGGGGTACAGACCAGAGGTGCAGGGGCGGTGAGAGGGTTCACCAGAGACAGAGTGGGGAGCAGAACAGGCAGATCTACTGAAACACACTGCTGAAGGGATCAGGGGGAGACAGGAGAGGTCTGCTGCACCGTTGGGGTCAGCTCCCTGGCTGGGGATTAAACTCGTGCTGCAGGGGCTGCAGACAGCTTCGTAGCACTGTGCTCGAACCTGTTACACCACAAGGGAGGGCCCAAGCTTGTATGTCTTCTGAGCCAGTCAGACAGGGTTTGTCATCCTCACCTCCCAGGTGAGATCTTGGGAGGTGAGAGGTAAAGAGTGACAGGTTCGCTGTTCTGCAGAAAGGAGATGCTGGAGTAAGGGCTGAGCCTAATTCATCAGAGTCCTTAGCCTGGGTCCTCAGAGCTGGAAAACAAAACACCTGAACCTCTGCTCTGGTGAAGCTCACACATTTGCAGTGCCAGTGCCAGTGCAGTGAAGTGTATCTTCATGTGGTATGAGATATTGGGAGGCCATGACTTCTAGAAAGTACCAGAAGCTGTAGAGGACTGGGCAGGGTAGTTAAGGAGACAGAACTTGCCGAGGCTCAGAGGTGTGAAGATCACCCTGTGAATTTGGGGTACTGGAGCAAAAGTGAGTGGTGGGGCTGTGACCCACCAGAACTTGGGGCTGGAGAGGTAGCCTCAGAGCTGGGCTGCAGAAACTTCCATGTCAGGCTGAAAACTGGCGGGGGAGGGACACAGTCAGCCTTGAACACAGCAGGGAAGCATGTGGCCCGGCTTTCCTGTTTCCATTCACCTTCTAACCCTTCTACGCCCTTACGACATTTGCAGTCAGTATGTCGAAGGCCATACATATCCAGAGCATATGGACCCTAATAGCTTTCTTTATTCTGTCTGCAATTAAAAACAACAACAAATAAAAAAAACCTGGAGTATGGAAATGGTAACTAAAGTTCTGGAAGGTCCAAGATTCAGAACAAAAGGCAGATGCGACTACTGTGTTTGCTGGACATCAGATTCTTTATCAGGTCCTCCCTGGGGGTGCGGGGGTCAGTCTCAGCACTATCAAGCTGTCACCAGCCACTGCAGCACGAGTTTGGTCCCCAGCCAGGGAGGGACCCCTAGGGCGCAGCAGACCCCTTCTGTCTCCCCGCTGCTCCCCTCAGCAGTGTACTTCATCGATCTGCCTGTTCTGCTCCCCGCTCTGTCTCTGGTGAAGCCTCTCACCGCCTGCACGTCTGGCCTGTACCCCAGTTCTTACATGCATACATAAATAAAACTAAAAATTAAAAAAAAAAATGAGCCCAACAAATTCTCTACTAGATCACCGATCAGGTGTCTTGTCAGCCTGCATGAGAGAGCCGGGGATCAGGGTGGGCTCCCAAGGAAGATGTGACAAACCCGCCTCTTCTTTTGGGGTAATAAATGTGGAAGGACATTCCCGCATTCAGCAAAGCCCCAGCTCCATGTAGCTGAGGTCTACTGGGGCCAGCTCCCTCCAGTCAAGTCTCCCCGCATGTCCCCCACCCCCCAGAGCCTTTGAGCATCTGGGGGACTTGGGTGAGAGGCGGTTCTAGCAGAGGAGAAGAGATCCACTGGGCGGTCGAGTTCCAGAGTGGTGTTTGTGGGCTTCTGGTGGCCTTGTGACTTTGCCTCTCATCTGGGTGATTCTCAAACTCCTTCACTGCTGCTTCAGACCATTCACTATCATTTATCTGTTCTTTTTTTTTTTTAATTTTTTTAGATTTATTTTATTTGTATAGAACTGGGGTACAGGCCAGAGATGCGGAGGGTGAGAGGCTTCACCAGAGACCGAGTGGGGAGCAGAACAGGCAGATCGACGAAGCACACTGCTGAGGGGAGCAGCGGGAGGGTCAGGAGAGGTCTGCCGTGCCCTGTGGATCTCCTCCAGGGCAGGCGGGGATCGAACTCATGGGAAACAGGCTTAAGCTTCTTTGTGCTGTGCTTTAACCCACTGCGCCACCAGGGACGGCCTATCTGTTCTTTTTTTAAAAGGTTTGTTTTTATTTATCTACGCAAGAATTGGGATGTAGGCCAGAGGCTTTACCAGAGACTGAGTGGGGAGCAGAACAGACAGACTGACTGAAACACACCGCTGAGGGGAGCAGTGGGAGAGATTGGAGAGGTCTGCTGCACCCTGTGGGTCACTCCCTGGCCGGATCGAACTCAGGGGGATGGAAGAACTCATGCTGAAGAACTCAGGTTGCAGTAGCTGATAATAACTTAATGGGGTGGGACTTTAACCCCTGCGCCACCAGGGAGGCCCATTTATCTGTTCTTAAAACCTCTAGTACTGTGCTATCCAAGTTACCAGCCACAGGGGTCAAGGACATTTAAATGAAAGCAAGTGTCAGGCAATAACAAAAAAATGTTTCTCAATCATTCTCGCCACATTTCACTAGCCATGTGGTGAGTGGCTGCCAGTTTGGACCGTCTGGATAGAGACCGTCTCCAGCAATGAGGGTGGGTTAGAAGGGGCCCCCCACCAGGAAGAAACAGATCAGGGTAAGGAGACTGTCAAGTTACAGGAATTTACTGGTACAAATCCTGCTGTATTAATGTTATCTCCGGGGCCTCCCTGGAGCAGCAGGGATAAAGTCTCAGCACTCTCTTAGCCTCAGTTCCGTCCTGGCCACCAGAAGGCCCCACGTATCTCCTTGATCCACCCTTATTCTGGCTGCGAATAACATAGTAGCTTCTCATTGTTCTCTCTGCCCGCAGTCCGTACCCTACAGCCCTTTCCACACACAGGAACAGACACAGAAAGCCAGGTCATGTCACCTCCTGAGCAGAACCACCCAGTGGCTTTGTCACGGTCCACGAGGCCTTTCACGGCCTGACCCTGCTAATTTCATCGACTTCTGGATCCATCTGTTCCAGGCATGGATACGCTCTCAGGTATCATTAGATTTCCCCTCGTGCCACAGGGCCTTTGAACAATGGATTTCAAGTTGGGTAGGGAAGTTCATGTGGGTCTAATTCATGTCAAAGTCATGAATATTTCTGTAAATGCAGAGAATAATTAATTTTCTTTGTTGTAGCTATTCATGGTTGCATAGCAGATGACCCCCAAATCTTAATGGCATTCAATAATCATATTATGACGCTCATAAAATCTCTGAGTCAGTTCAGATGCTGCTGGTCACTGTACCAGGCAGCGAGGAGCCTCAGCTGGAATGCCAGTTTCACTGGCCACCTGCAGAAACCTCTGAAGTATTCTTCACTCATATATCTGATGGCTGGGCTGGAATGACTTGAAGTTGGCCTCAGCTAAGTCCATTCATCGAAGCACTGCCATGTGACCTCAAGGAGCTTGGGCTTCCTCACACTGTTCTTCAGAGGGCTGCACATGTTAGTGATGACAGTGTTCCAGCAAACAAGTGAAAGTCACGTTGTGAGGAAGCTCAAGCCATCCTGCAGGGCTGGCCACAAAGTCGGAGATATTCCAACTCAGCTCTACCAACTCAGCCAGGAGTGCAGGTAGAGAAAACCACCCACTGGGAAGAATGGGAAGAATGGCAGGAAACAAATCGTCACACTTAGAAGCTGCTATGCTGTGGGTGGCTTGTTAGTTCAGCCCTTAGGAGCAGTTGAACGTGGGGTTCAACTACAAGCACCTCCTGAGAGAATGAATGGCTTCTCAGGGTCCCTGAGCCATGATGGTTTCTGAGATCTCAGCAATAAAACATCCCTCGGAAGCCAGAGTTGCAGAGGTGAGGTTTATGGTCCTGGACACGCACCAACAGCCAACTGAGATGGTGCTTTTAAGAAAACAGGAAATAAGATTCCCTAACTAGCAAACCATGAACTCTCTGCGTGGGAGAATCCCAAGGATCCGTGGCTTGGGGGTTAGACTGTGGGCTCTATTTGCACCCCACTTACCCTCCTTGGCCTGGCGCCCTTGTGTAGTGAACGGCCTGTAGATTCAGGGCTTCCAGACTCGACTCTGGCACCGTTCCTCCCTTCTTAGCTAACAGCATCCAAGTTTGCTTGTTTGACTGCCTTCAATATAAATTACGAACGCCTGCAGAGGAGGCCGATCAGCTCCGCAGCTGCAGAGGCCAGAGACGGAAGGATCTGAGACTTAGTGGCATTTGTCTTGCTTCATATAGCACCACAAGGTCCATTGACCTGCTCTGTCCATGAAGTAGGAGGGGAAGTTGCTGCAGGACATGGGAAGGTTTCTCTTAGTCTTCAAAGGGACCCCAGAGGAGAGCGAGCCTCTTTCTGCTGCCTTGGAAAGAGAGTGGCTGCTTGTGCCCCTGGGGTTACAGCAGCCCTGTTGGCACCGTGAGGGAGGGAGGGCTCAAAGACAGGAGGGCAGATGAGATGGGCCGAACCGAGGCCACTAACAACGTTGTGGCATTGCTAAATTAACTAATGTTGGAGAGGGCCCCTCTGGTCTTATTCTGCAAAACACATGAATGTTATTTGAATAAATTAGTGGAACATGTGTTACTTGCAGCCTAGTGCCTTCTGGTTGCCAGAGGGAAGGGCTCTGGTCAGGTATTCCTTGCATCTTGGTGGAGCCAGAGAAGAGAGGGTGTCAGGGACAGATCCGGTCAGTGCTTGAGTAGTGGGGACAGGTCTGCTGCGATACCCATCCACTCTGGCAGGAAGGCTGCCTCTGGCTTAAAGAGTTTGAGGAAGGGAGAGTCTGGGAGGGTGTAATTGGCCAGATAGATGGTCTTACCGCCGGCCAGGTAGGCGGCCCAGATCCCGAAGGTCCCAATGGTCATGATGGTGTGGTTGCACTGCATGAGGAGGGCAAAGTCCTTGGCAGGTGAGCCCTCAATGCCATTACCAGCAAACACCACGTCCCCGCGGGAGCCGTCAATGTTCTCGCGGCACCAGGCCATGCCGTTACTGGTGACCACGAAGATGGGGGAGTGGTAGTGAGTCCGGAACCAGTCCAGGGCCTGCTCTAGGTAATGGCGATCGGCCACCACGCCCTTCCATACATTGGGCATGACGTGCACGTAGTCGCCACGGCGCACGTGGACTCCCACGAAGGTGCCGGGCCGGCTGCCGTTCACCTGCAGGCCACGCAGGAACTTCTGCGCCTCCTCACGCACGTGGTCGTGCAGAGTGAATTCGCGCAGGATCTCGTCGCGGAGGTGGTGGTAGAAGGTCCAGGAGCAGGGGTAGCCGGTGAGGCGCACGTATTCCCCCGGGATGTGGCGGTACCGCTCCTCCATCCAGTCGTTGAGGGGGTAGTTCTGCCACGGGACGCTGCGGGCCGTGCTGTCGTGCAGCACCGGCAGGCTGATCCTGAAGATGGGCGCCAGCGAGTTGTGCATCTGCGCGGGGATGAAGGCCGGCCGCCCGTTCATCTTGGCCAGCGCGTACAGCGTGGCGTACTCGCCCATCTGGTTCCCCAGCCGCCCTATTGCGTTGATTGTCCACATACCCCTGACTGAGGGGCTGGTGGAGTTCTTTATGGGTTGGTGGCGCCTGGTGGTTGCTGGGACCTGCCTCTGTGCCTCCCAGGTGGACTGGAGCTTTGCCATCCGCTGCTGAAGGTGAAAGATGGTGGAGGCGGTGAAGACAAAAAGGATGAAGTGGACCATGGGGAAAGAGCATGGCATCTGAAAGCTGAGCATGGCTGTGAGGGGAGGCAGAGCAGGGAGGTTAGGTCAGGGAGTGGAGGGCCACAGGCGGTAGATGCGTGAATGCAGCAAAGCACTGTGTGTGCAGACACTGGGGTGGGGGAGGGGTGAGGCGGGGGAGTGCATGAGAGCTTATCTGTGTGCATATGAGGATGAGTGAAAACAAGTCTTTCACCACACCAGTGGCTGGGCCAGGTCAAATGCAGCCTGGAGCAGAGGGAGCCAGAGGCCAGAAGATACCTCAACAGAGGTGCAAATTCTGTAAGAGAATTTTACTCCCTAGCAAGGAAATGACAGCAACTTCCCTTATGTTCGAGCAAATCTACAACCTGTTCTTGTCAACTTGACACAACAGAAATTCATCCCGCGTGGGGTGGCTGCTCAGGACTGACCAGAGAACAGGTTGGGCTCACTGCACTACCAGAGGAGGCGAGGGACTGGAGAATGTTCCACCTGAACCGGTGGTTTGTAGAGAGATGCAGCTAATTAAGCTGCAACCTGCAGTCCCTGAGGATAAATGAAAGCATCAAGAAAGATGAGACTGTGAAGATACAGGTGCTGAACTCAAGTAGAGAAGCTGTAAGTTCATGAAAGCTGGAACTGACCTGACCCCCAGGAGGTGACTAGGAGCAAAACAATCACTACTTAGCATCAGAAATGACCGATTAGCTCTGGAAATTACCTCTAGTAATGGTGGCTTGTGTCATCCTGCAGTCTGCACTTACAGCACTTTGGCTGTCCCGAGGCCTGGAAATGCAGCCCCTGCCCAGATCCAGGTGAGGCCACTGACTGGTCAGTGAGCTCTGAGGGGTGGGAATGGGGTCATTTGGAGGAGTCGACAGAAGGTGATCTGCTTTCAACTCTTTTAGAGACTGCCCCCTGCACTTCCTGTGAATGAGGGTTTCCTGCCCACTCTTCTGAAAATGCTTCCTCGTCAGCTGACTTTAACCACAGTACATCCTGGAAACTAGAAGACGGTAGGTAGGTCAGCTACAAAAGTTGACTTGGTTCAAGGCTTGTCTTCCGGGTCCAGGCACTGAACAGAGGGGCCATTAAAAAGAAAATCAAGCAGGGTGTGACCTAGGTTACGGGGAAGTTGCCAGAAGCTATGAAGCTGTAGGAGTTATTAGGTTACTTGTGGTTGATAAAATAAGGTTTAGAGTCTAACTTAGGGATGTCCTTGATTCGGATGTATGTCACGAACAGTCCCCATTACGATTACACGCGGATTGCCTTTGCAGAAGAAACTCTGGGACCTGCTCTGAACCCACTGGCTGGGGGTCCAGCCCAACTGGAAGTGACTCCTGGTACCATGCACCGCCCCACCTGCTGGGGCTTGGAAGGAAGCAGCCAGGCAGGCAGTGTTAGCTGAACTCCTTTGGCTTCATGCTACCCTGATAACCTCAGGAGGGCATCAGTGTCACGGCTCACAGCTTCTAGATAAAGTCCCTTCGTCCTGGCCTCTGGAAATCAAGCTCCCTTCACTAAGCCTCGCAGGAAATGTGCTTCACCAGCTGACTCAGCCAGGAAGAGCTCTCTGTGGTCCAGGCCACACACTCTGGTCCCGGACTGCTGGTTTCTGGCTCGACTCATTAGCTGTGGGCCAGTGAGTCCACCTCTCCAAGGATCCAAGCACAATTTGTGCACTATCACCTAATTAGATGATACTATCAACTAATTAACGTCGTATTGATAGTATTGCACAACAGAGGCATCGTTCTATCTGGACTCTGGGGCAGACACTGAGAGAGATCAGGGAGAGAAGTAAGGCAGCCTGGCTCTGCTCCACAGAAGCCCCCGCCACTCCCCAGGCCTCTTTCCCCCACCAGTCCCTCTGGTCGCTGGCCGGCTGCACACACAGCTCAGCCGGCTGGGACGCTTCCCCTTCTTTCCTGCGTGTTGCCCAGGGCCCTGGGTAGCACATAGTAGGTGTGCAGGAAGTCACCGCAAAGGAATGCAGGAATTCCTGGCTGGCCCCATTTTTTCTCTCCCCCTCATTCGGTCCCTGCAAACCTCTCCCTGCCTTGGGTCGCTGTTTTCTTCTTGGTTTCTGGGATGGAGGGTTCCCCCTTTCCCTGTACACTAATAGATGAAAAAATAACTGCGGGAGGAGCAGACCCTCACAATGAAACCCTTAAGCTTGGCCAGCAGTCCCCCTAACCACCCCTCAAAGTTTGTTTATAGCAAACAGAAAGACAGGGCTGGTTTCCATGAGATAAAAAGAAACGCAGAATGTTCCAGAACAACGTCTAAGCTGTCATAGTTGTTCCTTTCCTCGTTCAGAGAGATGGCTGCTGCCAATCCACGGCCCACTTAGTGAAAAGGAGGAATCACTCTCACTCTCTACAGCCTTTTATGGTGAGTTACCAGGTGTTTCTGCAAGAATGGCACCTTGCCAGCTCCTGCACACAGTCTCTGGGCGCCGTGGTGACCATCTCCTGACCATCTCCTGCCAAGGAAAGCCCCCTCCAGGCCCAGGTATCACAGACTATGCACAGGCTGCAGAGACAGATCTCCAACCTCAGCTGCTCCCACCCCCCTTAACAACCCTGCTTGGGTGTCCACCCCCCACGGAAAGCTGTTCACCTGTAGGATGCCTGCTGAGTGGGCCTGCCTGCCCCCCTGAGAATATGGAACCTACCCTGCCTCTATGCATATGCATCAGCTCTCACACAAGACCCTCCCTTTCAGAACAAAACACCCCCTACAAGCCAGGTTTGGGGCCAAAGACCACCTGCTCCACACTTAAGCAATCCAATAAACCCCTTTCTGCTGACAGCCCCAAGGGTGTCTGTGTGTCCACTGGCAGCCACAGAGAGCCCAGCACCCTCCGTGGTTGTGTGGGTGTGGGTTCTTGTGGGACCCTGGACCTGAGGAGGCAGCAGAGAGGAGGTGGAGGTGAGCCTCACAGGGGGATGCCCAGAGCCTTGCTATAAGGTTCTAAAAGATCTAGGTTTGGGCCCTCTGTGGTGGCGCAGGGGATTGGAGCGCAGCACCATGAGGCTGCAAACAGCCACTGCAGAATGAATTAGATCCCCCCCCCCAGGGAGATCGCAGCAGACCTCTCCTGTCTTCCCCCGCTGCCCCCCTCAGCAGTGGATTTCAGTCCATCCACCTGTCCTGCTCCCCACTCTGTCTCTAGTGAATCTGCTCACCCCTTGCCCCTGTGGCCTATACCCCAGTTTTAGTATGCATAAATAAATAAATCTTAAAAAAAGATTTAGGTTTGGAGAGAAGCTCCACCCGGTGTCACCAGCCTCTGATGAACTCTGACAAGACCTGGGACTTGCCCTCTCAGTGTGCTGGTCCAAAAAATAGGCTAGTTCAGCCTCTGCCTCCAGGGCCGACCAACTCCCAAGATCAGTGACCCTGAAGTACATTTAGCCCACCAACATCAGGTTTGGGCTCAGTCCGCAGCTCACCCCCACCCCCACCCCCGCTGCTGATGGCTCCTCCAACGGGCAAACAGCTTAGGAGCTTCGGAGTCCAGTCAGGGAGAGGGCCCGTGGCCAGTGGCCATCGCAGAGATGGGGGTGGGCGCAGGGGCCTCTGGGTGGCAGGCCCGCAGCGTGTGGGCACGGGATCCCGCAGGTGAGTGGCAGGAGCCCCAC